GCCGAGGAGCAGCAGCAGCAGCAGCAGCAGGGAGTAAAGTGCAGGAGAGACCGGAGCAGACATCAGCACCGGAGCTGGAAAAGAAGAGAGTAAGTCAGCCCGGCTGTATGAACCAAAAAACCACCAGCACCGCCGCCAGTTATTTTCCACCGCTCCATCCAAATCAACCACAAAGACCACAGCTGTCATTGTGTCAACGCTGAGATTGTTGTCCTCTCGGCGTTTCTCTCTCCTCCGGTCGTTGCCTTTGTTTTGGAAGGATGCATGAAAAGGACGAACTTTGGTCCAGTTTTTCATTCCCCTTTCTGCTGCCGTGCACCTTCCCCGTTGTTCCTCTGACTGAACAGCCGGTTTCTCTTGTTCCGAACGGGATGCATTGTTGCCACTGCGCAACCCACGACAAGTGTCAGGGATCAGACGTGTGTGTGTCGGTGAACCGGTTATCTTCTCAAGACCTGTTGTAAAGGCTGCTGTGGCTGTGCTGCAGCTGGAGCTGGACACTGCTGGACTTCAGCTGCTCACTGACAACAAAACTAGGGAAGAAAGGAAGCGGATTCCATCCTTGGCAGACCTTACACTTTCTCCCTTCCCAGTGTGGAATTCAGGCGCTTTCACGGGAATTAAGTTAATTGGGAACAATATGGTGGAGCCAGTGGGATTCCTAGAGGCGTGGAAAGCACAATTCCCAGATTCGGAGCCCCCCAAGATGGAGCTGCACTCAGTGGGAGGAATCGAACATGAGCTGGAGAAGTGTAAGTCGTCAATACGGCGCTTGGAGCAAGAGGTGAACAAGGAGCGCTTTCGCATGATCTACCTACAGACCCTGCTGGCCAAGGAGAGGAAGAGTTATGACAAGCAACGATGGGGTTTTAGGAAGACCCCGCTAAATGAGGGCATGGACCCCTCAACAGCACAGCACGGTGCAGAGTCCCAGTCCCAGGGGCCACACATGCAGGAGACTGGTGTTGTCGGAGTTGGAGGTTATGTTGGAGGAAGTGGAGGTGTTGTGGACAGAAGGGGGTTTCAGCCTCTCGATACACCTGGAAGGACCAAACCCAGACCTCCACCTGCCAGGAAGTCAGCTTCACACGGAGATGGCTTGGAGTGCGCATTTGAAGTTCCTCAGCAAGTCGAGTCGACTTCCTGCGACAACCTTGACGGCCTTTCACCATCCAAACAGAGAGGGGGCGCCGTGTCCGTCTCTCCGAGAAGACCCACCCTTCCACCTCCAGATAAGGAGCTGCCCTCTGACCCCAAGGACAAACTTGGCATGGGGCTCGGTGTGGCAGCTCTAAGGTCAAACTTTGAGAGGATAAAGAGGGCCAACTCTCACTCTGCAGGAGATGCAGCTAAAGGCCAGGAGAAGTTGCCACCACCGCCTCCACCGCCATTTTACACAAATATGGAATTCCATCATGATAGGGGACTAGTTAGGGTCAACGACCGCGACGTCTCTGACAAAATCAGCTCCCTGGGCAGCCAGGCCATGCAGATGGAGCGGAAGAGATCCCTCCACTCTCTCCCAGGTAATCTGGCAACGGTAGCTGGGGATCTCCGTCCCAGGCCGGTGTATAGGGGGCGCTCCACTGAGAGCACCTGTGGCTATGACGCAGAATATGAAGACGGAGAACCCAATCAGAGACATTCAGGGAGGGCCAACGGAGGCAAACCCCCCCCTCCACCTTGGCAGCCGTCTGATTTCCAGGCTTACTCCAGCGTCTACGTCGGTGGAGTGATGATGGGCGAAGGTGGTGGTGGAGACGGCAGAGCGGGCGGAGGCGGAGGTGGTGGTAGTGGAGTCGTGATGAGAGAGCACGGGGGAGGAGATGACCACCTTCTGACGTGGCCACGTCGCTCGTACTCCCCAGGTAGTTTTGAGGATGTGGGCGGAGGCGGTGGCTACACGCCGGACTGTAGCTCTAACGAGAACCTGACGTCCAGTGAAGAGGACTTCTCCTCAGGCCAGTCCAGCCATGTCTCGCCCAGTCCCACCACAGCCTTCCGACGGCCTTTCAGAGAAAAGAGCCGCTCACCGTCACAGAACTCCCAGAATTCGCAGCATTCCTTGGACAGCAGCAGCCCACCGACGCCACAGTCCCAGAAGCGTCACCACCGGCAGCCCGGAGGCCACGTGGTCATGTCTGAAGCCACTATTGTGAGTGTCCGCAAGACTGGTCAAATCTGGCCGCCGGCTGCCCATCACGACCTCTTGCCCCACGGGAGAACATCCCATGACAACAGTTACCATGGAGACCACCTAGGTGAGTATCGTACGCTGTCTTTAATATTTGTTGAGAGCTAGCTGGAGTGCAGTGGGCAGTACTCAGGATGTCCGCTGAGACAAGAAAGACGGGGGAAAATGAATGAAAGCTTCTGCCAATGTTGGGATGAGTGTAATTTAACCGTTTTTTTTTTCTATTCTGCTGCATTGTTAGCTTTTAGCCACAAAGCCACTAAATGGTTAAATGATTGATTCTGTTTGCACCAAATGATTGTATGTGTGTGTTTGTGTGTGTGTACACACAAGCATGCAGAACTGTGTCTTCTGAAAGGCCCTGTGTGGAAGACAAATGAAAGATCCTCCGCCGCTTATTCCAGGAATGTCAGTTGGTCAGAAGAACAAAGAAATGTGGTCGTGCTGAGTTGAAAGTGTCTGTCTCTCCTCTGTCAAAAGTCTACTGCAGGTCACAGTGTGGCATTTTAGTTACAGGTGTCTTGTCTGCAGCCCTGTCTGTGTCATTTGTGACTCAGTCAGTGACATCACTCAAACCAGGGTCTGAAATGAGTCGGGTTTCAGGGTAAAGTCCTCCTGATTGGTCACCATTGAATGTCACATGATTGGAACTATTAAATAACATGATATATATACACACAACATATATATATATATATATATATATGAAATCTATAAAGTATTGTGTGTTGACATATGACATATTGACCAACTAACTCTAACTAAGAAGCTAATGGGCCAAAACATGGTTAAAGAGCTAAAAGCTATCAAAGATCAGCTTAAATGCAGGCCTAGAAAAATCACAAAACCTAGCCTAATGTCATAGTGTAATTTACCTAATGTTACCTCAAAATAAAGCTAAAAGCATATCAGAGGAACTGAAGCTAACCCTAGAAATTGCCAAATGGTTTTCAGAATTAGCGCTAAATAAACCCCAATAAAAATCAACACTAAAAAAAGAAATACTTAATAGTTAGCCAAAGGCTAAGGGTTTGCCTGAAAACACTTCCTCTAGCCGTGAGATGAGCTTTTCATTATATTTTAAAACGGATGATTGAAGGTCAGAGCTAAAAGCTAGCTAAAAGTTAACGAGTGGTGTAGTTAAACTAGTAAAAGTAGTAAAACGTCGCTTTAATACGAAGATAAATTACAAGCTTAGTTTACTGTAAAGATTCTCATGTTTATAGCTGTGCGGAACAGCTCAAACCTCCAGCTCTAATATTTCACATCGTGCCGTTTGCTAAGCTCCAGTAGAGCTCGTTTGATTTTATCATAAGTGTTGCCTCTCTGTGGTTTCCTCCTGCTGGACTGTGACAGATTTGGGGCTGACACCCTGCTGGACCCGACACACTGCGGGGTGTTGGCCTCATCACACCTGTTCTAGTGCCAGGATGAAGTAGAAAGAGGGCAAAAGGAAGTCAGATGGTGTAAGTGGAGAGCGACAGACGGAGTCCAGACCTGGAGTGAGGAGGATAAACAGTTAGAAGAACAATTGACAGGAACGTGGCCTCCTAACTGGTACACAGCTGTGCTCTGTGACCCGCACCTGAACTATATAGGCTATACCAGTCATCACCCTGGGTTGCATTGCTGTCTGAAACCCTACACGGCTCTTTGCCTAAATACCCTGAACAGAGGAGGTCTCTGTGCATCTATAATTCATTGATTTGAATGCAACCGCTGACACAGTGTGACTCTGGAGGGGATCAACTGAAATGTTTTGTCCAGACAGTAGATTTTTCCGACCAGGTTTCCGTCCTGTGTGAAAAACCATCTGCGGTGAACGTGACTGACATCTTCTTTTTAATTAGGATCACCTCTCTCGTGGCAGATAACGGCGTCATCGGCATAGATTATGCTCACGGTTAGGACAATGTGGAGTTGCAAACCTAGAGTAAGAATGCTCAACAAAATGGAGAGCTAATTCTCCAGCTGCTGTGTTTGGGATTATCACTGCACTGTCTGCTCTCTTTGTTATCTTTTTTTTCCACCACGGTGAGCACCCGGGGGTGGGAGAAAGGCCGCAAGAGCAGGGGTGTTGGAGTTGAAGAGGATGTAGTCGGGGGACAGCAACACACTTTGTGAGATAATCCTGAGTTTGAGCGTACAACAGAACAAGGTGGTATTGACACCCTGCAGAGCGGCGCTCTTGTCTGGTTGGGGTTTAACGTTGGGGCAGATGGGAGTGATGGTGACCCTAAATGTGATGCTGGCAGTGCTAAGGTTGTGCTAGCCAGGATGGAGTTCAGTGAAGGATGAAAGGCCAAGTGTGTGTGTGTGTGTGTGTGAGAGTGTGTGTTTGTGGTTGACTAATGGAGATGATAATGAGGAGTGGGATGGTGTTGTGAGGAAGGCTGAGTGGGGCAGAGAGTGCAAGGCAGAACTGTCGTTTCTCGCTTCATTGGTCAGGGTGCGGGGGCTGCAGAGAGGCGCAGATGGGAAGAACTCTCCCGTTGCGTAACAGTAATACACAGACCGGGGCCCAAACACAAAGACACACATGCTGGATGTTTACTCAGGTACCTGGAGGCTGTTGGGCCTTTAGCAGGATGTGCGACTGTAAATCTCCACGTCGTAGCTTCGACTGGTTTCAAGATGAAAGATATTCCACACCAATGGAGTCCAAAAAAAAAAAAAAGAACATGGAGGAAATGAATGGCACAACATTTTCTGTTATCATGATGTCCATCAACCAATGGTCACCACCATGGATAAGTGGCGTATAAAATATGTTGGTTTTTTTGTACTAAAGTCGACACCGTCTTGACATCAGAGTACCACAGTTCAGGGCCTGTGCTAACTGGGACGAGTAAGTCCAAGAACACAACAGCAAAGTGTAGGAATCTTATCCAACGCCTTCTTTTATCTAGAATTTACAAACTGAGTGCAGATTTTCAGGCACTTATGGCAGAAGAACACACGAGCGCAATAAAAGTAAGAATAACGTAGTGAGCGTGTCGTTCTCTTGGCAGGCTAAATGTTGGCTTGTGGACAAACATGTGAAACAGGTTTAGAAGGAAAACCTTCGTCTGCCTACGTTTCTCTCTGGACCTGATGTGCTAATGAAACAGCAGAGCTGCGATGCTACTTCAGCGCTAACGCTGAGATGTCTGACACGTCTCACCACACTTTATTGTCATGTTCCAGACAAGGAATCTCTCAGAACTAGAGCTGCTATTACATTGAAATGCTCATTGTGAGTATTAGTATTTGGTGTTTAAATGTCCCATAGGGAGGGTACTTTTTATGCTCTGAATACTTTGACAATTAGACTCGACAAATATATGTTTGCTTTGCACAAATGTTTGTTTATTGTTTTCTGTAACAATTCCAAACAAGAACAAATTTGGTCAAGAATATTAGCCAGAATAACCATAGAGATATTTAATACATGAAAAGTATTTGTTGCACTTTGGAGTAAAGTAATGCTTTGTGGTTTGTTTAAAATATAGCACCCTGACCTGGTCCTGTTCATTTGTTTGTTTTGTTTTTCAAAACCACTTAGTTTGCAATAGAAGAGCCTTATGATCACACTGATGTACTGCAGTGGTAACTCGTCTCACATCGACAGTAAATATGGTGATTACCAGTTGGCAGAGGTTCCAAGCCAAACCATTTAGAAACCATTTTCTTTAGTTGGTTTGCTTCTGCCATCCAGAAGTCACTGCTGTGTTGCATAATTGCTCTCTGAATCCCAAATCTAAGTGGGAAGCCAACGGTCAGACAACAGAGGTCGCCTTTATATTAATTTGTCTCTAACGATTATTAATCTATTCAATTTGGCTGCCCAACTATCAAAACATCAGCAACATCCCGTCCGAGAAAAAAAAAAACCTCTCACCCTCTGACGTTTAGTGAAGTCAGCAGACCTCAGGGAATTCACCCCCCAAACCATAAACATGTTACCTGCTAAAAGTTCTGGTCAGATCCAATAAGTTATGAAAGAGGTCTTTCAGTGCCTTCAGTAGGGTCCTGGGTGGTAACTAAAAATACATAGTTTCTCCAAAAGGTGTGTCCTTCCATGGATTTGTTTGAATCTAAACAGCGGCAAATACCTGTGGGTTTGACTCTCAGAGGGCAGGGATGCCAGTGCTGGACAGGTCTGAGGTGGAGTCAATGGTTTTATTGTCCAGGATCCCTCCACCTCCTCCTGCTGGGTGCTGTCGGCAGCAGCAGTTTTTAGGCAGGTCCAAACCCTTGCATTTTTTCCTTTCATTCCCGACACTTTTACTTCTTTTCAGGTCGTAGATGAGCGAAGGTTTTGGCTTTTGTTATTAATTGAAATGTTGCACTTTCCACCACAGACCTTTAACTATGTTTGGATGTGTTCCGTGATTGGAGAAAAATACAAGGTTCTTTGATATTTGTTTTAAAGTTGATTTTATTCACCTCTGTACAACATGTGAAGACACGTCTCTCAGTTCACTCAGTTATGTGTTATATCGTCAACTTTGCCAAGCGCTGAGATGGGTTAAGTTTTATTTCTTTTAAACTGGTTACATTATTAACTAAACACAACACGATCAAACTGTGTATATTTTTGTTTTTGTAGCACTCTTAAACTATGCTTTTTAAACTATGCTAATCTCTACACAATTGGCGTTGTAGGGATTAGCTGCTAGCAGCTGCTAATAGCAAAATAAAATAATAGCTAAAGTAATGTAAAGGTGTATTGGAAGTAGGCAGCAGCAAAGAAACACTCATCTGTAGTACTGTAAAACCATAATACTTTTCCCCTGTAGGTACTTCTGTGTATCTGTGCTCAGACTGTTTAGCTTGTTGCTAACAGAAAAACAACACATAACCTCAACCTCAAGTTTTGAGGGATTTGGTCCGATCTACTACAGATTTATTTAATTGTTTGTAAAACATTGAGAATACATAAATCTCCCCTCTGGACCAAATCTAAACCCAGGATATTTCCTCATTTCCCAGGGTAGTGACATTTTTAAAACTCAAAGTTATAAAACATTATTAACCCAGTGAATGTTTCAGCCCTGTATTTAAATGGGTTGCACAGTACAAAGT